TCTCAGCTTGCTTCCTTGGAGTTAATCGCTGGCTCCTTCGGGTGAACTCTTAGCCGTTGCTGTAAGAAGTCACACGGAAGCATCGCCCTAGTAGCCTGCATCCACCCCTGCCACTGTGCTGTTGAGCAGAAGGTGGCTGGGCTTCCATCGCACACTTGATTTCTGCAAGAAGGCACTCAAGGGTGGGGGGGAGGTCTGTGACATGATCAGAGCGCCAACATGGAAAGAGGTGCAATATTGCCTCCTTAAACAACTGGTTTGGGATGGCAGCCGTGCACTTTGTCAAAGGGCAGAGCCGAATAAGGGGCATACATATCAAAATGCCATGTTTCAGAACAATTAATGCAGAGAGTGTAATATTGTTCATTTTAACGAGATCAGAAGTCAAACACAAGGAATTGTAAACGACAAGAGGGATAAATTCCCCCCAGCATCATTTGACAGGAACAAGGAGGGCTTGATTGTTGCAAGGATTGTCAGACAGAGATGAGGAAGAAGTTCCTCCCAGGGCATCTGGGATCTTCTTGAGCAACGTTTTTTAATTATTATTATTTTAAAAATCTTTTATTTAATGTTGTGCCCTGCAGTGTCCTTCGGGAAAGGTTTCCAACAAACAGGCCTTACCCAGAAGGGACTGACTGGGTCTGCCTGAGTCCAGACCCTGGAAGTGTGATTTTTCTTTTCTTCTTTCTGATGGCAACTCCTGGTGTTCTCTACCCAGCGGGGCCACTGGGGGGGGGGCCTCTTGGAACTCATTTTCAAAGGGTGGGTAGGTGGGTGGGAAGTAACTTTTGCAAACTCTTGTGTTCAAGCAATGTGCAAAACCCCACAGTCCCCAGGTTCTTGTGTGGAGGCTGGCATAGAAAGAGATGGAGTGGGCTTGGGGAAGGCTAGGCTGGCCCCTCGGGGCCCGGGGCCGGGAGCCCTGCTTTTCCTTGTTTTGCCGGCCCTTTTACCTTTAGCCCCATCGTGTGGCTTGGCTGACTTACTCAAGCAGTGCTCTCCACTTCTTTATTTTAAAGACACAACATGGTCTGGATGATGTGGCTTGGAGGGGCAGGCCCTTATTTATGCTTTTCATCCATAGTGGTGTTTTGGACAAAGTCTGGATGGTTCCCCCTTTCTAATTTGAGAAGGCAGAATTCTTCTGTCCTCCTTTTACTGGGGGTTTTGCCCGAGCATTTCCCTGGGTGCTCGTTTTTGTACTGAATGGATGTTTCTCTTTATCAGCCTCTTCGGGACCCTCAGCCAGTCACCTGTTCTTCCCCCGCCCAGTCCAGCTCCAGCCTATGGAGGTCAGTAGCCGCCTGCGTCTTTTACCATCCCGGTTGATGTTCTGCCTGCACCTGATGGTGCTCTCTGTCCCTTCACCCATCTCTCCCTCCCTCCCTCTCTCTCTTTCTCTCTTTCTTTTCCAGCCTCCACCAACCCCTTCGCCACCGCTGCTGTTCCACCACCCACGTTGCCTTCCACTAACCCTTTCCAGACCAACGGCTTGGCTGCAGGTAAGCCTTTTTCTGCTCTGCTGCCGCTTCTCTGTCATCAGCAGCCCATGAAGAACCAGGAAAGGGGAAATAGGCTGCGTTTAGGTTCTCCCACTGGAGCGTAGGAGCATTGTGTCCATTTAAAAAATTTTTTAAAAATTTAATTCATGCATTTTATGCCCTGGCTGGACCCTTGTGGCTACTTTCCTGCGTTCTTTTCCCCTGGTGTGCTTTTCTTCCTTCCTTTCTTTAAAATGCTATCTTTCTTGCATTGAAAGACCCAGGGTAAATCACAACATGAATTTTAAACATACGGGTAAAGGCATTAAGGCTGAAACCCTGTTTGTGGCACAAATCAAAGAGTAATTTTCTGCCCATTCTTTCCTGGCAAGCAGACTCCTCCTCCTGCAGTTCTCTGAGGTGTGCACACACATGCACTGAGCCAGCGTTCATGGTACCTCTGAGAATCCTGGCTGTGACATTTTGTTTTCCAGGAAGGAATGGACAGAAATTTGTCCTTTGGCTTATGCTGTGGACAGGATTTCAGCCAATAGTACGTAGTGTCAAAACACAACGCAGTGTGTTGGAATATCAAAACTTAGGACCCATGTAAAAGAATTTTTAAAACTTATTTGAACTGTCTAGCTCAAAACTATTAAGGTATGTTTAATCCAGAAAGAGTCCCAGATTGGCTTCTAAAGTATGCTTCAGGCCATCAGGTTTACAGCCCTAAAATGAAGGCATGAGACACAAGGAATAAAAAGGCTGGGGAGGATCCAGGTAATACGTGCCGAGGGCTGATCGTGACTGGCAGAAAGGAAGCGTTTCAAGGGAGACTGCAAGAACACCGGCCCCCCCCCCGAGTGGGGCCAAGCAGGGCAGCATACTTTCTGTGGGCTTCTCCGGGTTCCTTTCAACGGGTGTCCCCCCCCCCGATACCCCGGCAGTCCAACTACCTGTAAGGCTTCTGGCTGACAGATGGGCGTCCACAGACGTTTCCCTATTCCAGCTGGGCGCAGGAAGAGGCCCTGGGAAGTTGTCGGCTGGTTGGGGCGGCCCCACATAGGAGGTTGTGGCCCATCAGCCGGCATCCTGACTCAGCGCTACAGCTCTTGGTCGCGAGGCTGCCGAGGGGGAACCGGGTCTC